CCCATATCAGCCCCCCCAAAAAAACCTGAATTCCAACCCCCAACCATCTGTCCTACATCAGCCCCTCCCAAAAAACCTGAATTCCAACCCCCAACCATCTGTCCTACATCAGCAGCCCCAAAAAACCTGAATTCCAACCCCCAACCGCCATCTGTCCTACATCAGCAGCCCCAAAAAACCTGAATTCCAACCCCCAACCACCATCTGTCCTACACCAGCCACCCCAAAAAACCTGAATTCCAGCCCCCAACCACCATCTGTCCTACACCAGCCGCCCCAAAAATCCTGAATTCCAGCCCCCAACCACCATCTGTCCTACACCAGCCACCCCAAAAAACCTGAATTCCAGCCCCCAACCACCATCTGTCCTACACCAGCCGCCCCAAAAATCCTGAATTCCAGCCCCCAACCACCACCTGTCCTACATGAGCTGCCCCAAAAAACCTTAATTCCAGCCCCCAGCAACCCACTTCTCCTAGATCCAGTGCTCTCCTGCCAAGATATCTTAAATCCAACCCGCACCTCTAAAAACCCACCTCTACTAGAGCAAGCCCCCAACAACCCACCTCACCTACATCCAGCCCTCACCCCACCCACTTAGGATTCCCATTAAATCCTACTCCCACCTGGCCTCCTAAAGGCCCTCTTCCAGATCCAGCCCCCTAACAAATCACCTGGCCTACACCCATCCACTCCTCTCAATGGCCCCGTTTCCACTGTCAATCCACCTGCCTCTTCTTGATTTTCGATAGTGGTGAGTAGTTAATTTTGTTATTGCGTTAATTAAGTACCTATTGCAATGTGACTGGACTTAGGGCTATGAAAATCACTATAGCCAAACAATGGATCACAATAGTTAAGATAGAGGTACCCTACAATACTTTCAAAACTCTGTATTGTTTTTGTTGTTTTGGTTTTGGGCAGAAGATGGCACTGTTAACTGTATGTTCAGTATCTTTTGAGCACTTTAGTGCAGTTGCAGATTACAAATGGTCTGTGCCAATACATTCAATGTAATTATTATGGTAGCATAAAAAATTAGCCAATCCCTTTTCTGGGGGTACTTCCTGTATTCTCATATATGCCATATATTGGACTGATATCTGTAGTAAAAGATTTTCACTTACTTTAGACTCCTTTCCTCCCTCCTTCCCCACCAACCTGCTCCCATTCCCTCTTTTGCCAAGAGAGAGGGTTAGGGAAAAAAACAAACTGCTATGCAGTGTGACTGAATGGCCCCAAAATATCATGGATTTTTTTTTTGTTTCTTGTCCTCAAGAACATCATCAATTATTTGAAATGTTTTTGTAGTCACTCAGGATTCTCTTTTTTGTGGTCATTATTGCTTCAAATTCTACTTTTTAAAATATAATTAGGCAATAATAATAAAAGTGGAATTCTATTTGTGCAGCAGCAGTGATTTGAGAGAAAGCTTGCCACCCCCAATTCCCCACTCTGCCCCTTCCTGAATGACCAACCCAGAAGAGGTGGCCTTTGTTTCTAATTCACAGCTCATGAAACCATCTACATTTTTTGTTAGTCTCTAAGGCAGTGGTCCCCAACCTTTAGAGGCTGCCAGGCGCCAGGGGGCGTGGCCGTTCGCCTGCCGGGCGCCAGAGGACGGGGACACATGCACGCCCAGGGGCGGCCCCCCCCATAGCCACGTGCTCAGGGGAGGGGCCCCCCCATAGCCATGTGCCCGGGGGCGGGG